CATTCTTGGAGAGAGAGAGATCATTCTTTGTTTGCTCTCTTTTTTTTTTTTTTTTTTAAATATTGTCTTGCCAGTCTAGCCATGAACTCATGACCCTGCTTAGCCTTCTGAGTGCTCATGCTACAGCCTGTGTCACACCTGGCTTAGGGAGGCTTCATTCTTATCCTTATTTGGTAGATGAGAAAACCAAATATTGGAAAGATTAAGCAACTTATTTGAAAGCAGGAGTTTAAAGCCAACCTGAACTGCTCAATGAAACCTTGTCTCACTGGCCCTCCCACACAAATCACTTCAAATTTCAAAAGACTTCTAGCCAGAAAGAGCCAGAACTTAAATGTAAGCACAACATCATGATCATGGTTTTTAATTGGTTTTCATTTTGTCTTCCAGCAGACATCTGGAAATGTCCATCAAAGTTTAGTTTTACTACAATGGGGTAAGGGTATGGTGCTATTGGCATCTGGTGGGTAGGGACAGTCAAATGTCCCACAGTGCACAGGATGCCCCCATGACACATGTCCCAAATGACAATAGGTCCAAGACCAGGAAAAGCAGTCTGAAACCAAAGTCCCACATCCCAGCTTTGGGGTTCACACTAGATGCCAAATTTTCTTTTCTTTGTTGTAAATACTACAGTGTGTTTATTTTTCTTAAATTGGCATTACATTAGTGAGTTTAGAAGAATCAGCTGCACTTCTGCCTATGAACTCACTTGGAGGAAATGCTTTCTTTTCTCACACATATCCAAGCAAGCAAGGTATTATTGAAAGTGAAATACATGTGGTGGAAACTGCCACCAGTGTGAGGAACCACACTATTGGCTTGCTTCTTCTGGAAGGATTCCTTACCTCTTCAGACATGGAGAATAAAATCCATCAAATATATGTTTCTGGAAGCTTGCAAGGCTTGCTGCAATTTGTCTCTGTGCCATCTCTCCGTTTTCCCCTCAAGGCTAGCAGTTGCTTGGAAACCTCTTTGGAACCTTAAAAGCCACCTGATGGGGAAGATTAACAAACAACTCATTCAGGCAGGGGCCACAGTGCAGATAATTTAATTTGTTGCATGGCATTTAAACACTGGTTTCAAGGTAGTGCCAGGAAGCATATGCCCTTTCTTCTGTTTGTTCCCCTCTTTAATTGTTAGTGGGTACGATTGCATACTTGTTGCAGTGGGTACTACAGTCTGAAAAAATCGAGGCCAGAGCAAAAGATATTGTCTTTTAATATTAAAAAATGCCTGTTGCAAAACTATGGCATCTTCATCTCTTTCTTAGAAAAGACAATTTCATAAAGGGCTGTGCATTTCCTTGTGACATGTTCACATGGATTCATTTCTGTAAGTGGTTTTAGGGAGAGATTTGATATGATTTTTCCTTGTCCATGAACTTGTCAGGTGTTTCAGTGAACAACTTTATAACCCATCCCACACATAGAAGCCTTAAAAGAAATACCTTTCAGTCATGTGTGTCAAACAATCACACCCCTACCAGGAGGTAGCGGTTATACTTGCTGACTTGATGCATCCGGAGAAAATGAACATTTTTTTTTTCTCCCTTTCAAGAGTGAAGAGAACAAAGATGATTCTTCTAAACATTTTCAAAGGCTTGGCCCCTGGGCTGGGGCAATCCCAGCAGGCACAGGCCCAGCCACTGCAGATAGGGAGGGAACTGAAGTGACTCAGGGAAAGCTCCAGGGGAGCCTTGGGGTTCTTTCAGGAAAGGGACAGGATATCAGGCTGCTTCCTTCTGAAGCACACAGGACTCCTGCAGTTTCCTCATTGCAAACAGGGGGCAGTCTCTGTTAATTAAAGCTGGGAGCAGCAGCCATGAGTCAAAGTCCTGAATGCAGAGGCAGGTCCTGAAGTGGACTTTCCAATCTACACTTTGCCTAAAGTATTTTAAAAAACATGTTTCAAAGTGTCTTAAAGCCCTCATCTTTTACAATGGTATTACTGGTGTGGGTGTGAGTGCTTTTCTATGAGATTGCTGTAAAGGATGACCAGATGTTGGTTGGTGAGCATCTAGTTGGTGGACAAGGTCAGGAATGGCAGACGCCTACATTAGTAGTTGGACAGCTTTAGCTTTACCACTTACTGGACAGAGCTCACAATTTCTTGGATCCTAGTAAGCCTGCTGGAGGGTCCCTTCACAAGCCCGAGTGAAGACATCTTTCAGTCTCACAGAGGTCATGATGGAAGAAACTATTCACTCATGTTTTGAGTATTTCTATCCTCTTCTGGTCTCAGGCAGAATGATTTTTTTTTAAAAGATTTCTGTCTTTCTCTCCACCTCTACTGTGTGTGTTGTGTGTGTGGGTGTGTGTATTCTTGTGGGTGTTGGTATGTATATGTACCAGTGCATGTTGATGACAAATAACATCCTTAAGTGTCATTCCTCAAGTGTTATTTTTTTTTTACAGATTTATCTTTTATGTGCATATGTGTTTGTCTGTGTGTGAATTTGTGTGTACCAAGTGCATGCAGGTTCCTGTGGAGGTAGAGTTTCATATACTTCAGTACTGGTGATATAAGTCACCTGATATGGGTCCTGAGACCCAAACCTTAGTCCTCTGCAAGAGTAGTAGGGGCTCTTAACTGCTCAGCCATCTCCCCAGTCCCACCATCTTGGTTTTTAAGACTATTTTTCTCATTGTTTGGAGATCTACAGGTAGGTTAGGCCAGCTGGCCAGCATGCCCCAGGGATCCACCTGTCTCACTTCTCCAGCACTGGGATTGATCATATCCACCATGCTCTGTCTTCTCATGTAGGTTCTGGGAATTGAACTCAGGTCCTTGTGCTTTGATGGCAAGTACTCTCCTGATTCATAACTTGTTAAAGATATCAAATAACTAAACATAGCTCATAACTAACTTTTGTTATGTGCTGAGGAACACAGATAACCACAGTCCTTTTAGTCACGTTATTTACATGGCAGTACTTGGAGACATTAAAAATATGAATAAATAATAGGAGTTGGATTGAGTGTCTGTGAAGAAGGCATAGGAAGTGACTAGGCCACAGGCTTTGGAAGCAGATTTCTTGACTCAAATGTCAATTCTAGCATTTACTCCACAAACTACCCTGGGTAGCTTCTTTCATTGTTTTGTGGCTAAGACAGTTTCTCCACTCTGCTACTGGGAAGATAATAATGGAGCCACTGGGCCCAGCGATTTCTCCACAAGCCCTCAGATTTACTGGTACTCAGTTAATTACTGATTTTTAATAAAAGTAAGCTGAGGGGCTACGATGCAGGCCACAGATAAATGTCAATTGCCATCAGCTATCATACTAACATCTGTGCTTGTGAGATGGACAAGAGGGTGGCAGGTGTGGGTACCTTCCACCCAATTCTGAGCTCTAGTTGTGAGGAAGCTGATGAATTAGGAGTCTCACCCTTTCCCAGATGGGAAATAGAGTCAGTCCCTGCTCTAAGGCCTGGTGTAGTCTATCAAGGTTGCATCTGTAAATCTTATTCCAAACATTAAAGGTGCCCTTCATTCAAAGGAATGGGGAGCTCAGCCAAATTCTTTGATTTGGAGAATTCTTGCCCCACAGTCCCAATAAACCCTCCCACACTTTTCCAATTACGGGGATCCCAACATACCATTTTACACATGGCCCAACTTCTTGGTATTTTGAAAATGTTCCCAAAGAGTCCTGCAGCTGAAGCCAAATAGAGGAGAGGACAGTGAGAGCATTACTTCCCTGGGCATCACTCAGCCCACTGCAAAGAGTATAATTTAAATTAAATTTAAATTAGTATAATTTAAAAACAAAACGTCAGGGTGTTAGGGATATAAATTTAGCTTAGCAGCTTTGATGCCAATCCTGTTTTAGGGGTTACTGGAGTCAAACAGAGGACAGGAAGAAGGGGGAGAAATGGGAGAGGGCCTATTGTGGATTCAGAGGAATTAGCTGAGAGAGAGAGAGAGAGAGAGAGAGAGAGAGAGAGAGAGAGAGAGAGAGAGAGAGAGAGAGATTTGGAAAGGCTGAGAAGAGATGTTGGGAGCCAAGGAAGCAAGCTCTGTGAAGAGAGGATGTCGGGGGGGGGGGAGGCTCTGTGGGGACAGGGGACAGGGGATAGCCTGCTGTGGAGACAGTCGCACAGGCTGCAGGAAAGACAGGGTGGCTGAGGATGCCTGCCCAGGCCTTGCGCTGCGCCAAAACTGCCAGCGCAGAGGAGGCGCCGCGGTGTGCCCTCCTGTGGAGCTTAGAGAATGCTGCGGAGGCGAAGAGGGGCAGAAGGCTGCAGGTCCTAGAGGCTAGGCGAGTTACTAGAAGACATCTTCCAGGACGAGCCACTGCCTTGGGTTTATCCACTGGCTACCTCCCCAGACCCTTGGGCTTCTTTAATGAGTTCCCATGCTCCTCTTCTGGGATGCTTACCACAGCCCAGGGGCTGGACACTTCACCCACCTTCCCAGTTCAGCCTCTATCTTCTCTGTCCAAGGACTCAAACCATCCCGGGCTCGCGACAGGCGACAGGGCGCATTCCCGGGAAGGGCAAGGTGGTAACCGCCCGTTCGGGAAGGGGAGGACGACCCTGTCTATACTGCATCTAGTGTGTCTTAAGAGTGTGCAAGCCATCTAGTCTGTCCCGATTCTCCCCGAGTTACCCCTTCCCTGATCTACAGATTGCAACCGCAGCTCCTGCGCACGCACCTCTTGGGAGGTGGGGTGGGGTGGGGGTGGGGTGGGGGTGGGGGAAAGCCGCGGGCGGAGCCACCTCTAAGCCCTTGCTTGGGGGTGAGCCGCACCTTTCTCCCCGAGAGGGTGCCAGAGGTCCTGGCCGAGGTTCTCTCCACCTGCCGGGAAATCCTAGCTGCTCTTCCGAACCTGGCGGCTGCGGAGCTCATTGCTCCTACCAGAGCACTCTCTGCACGCCCCCAACTCGCCCCCGCCCGCCCGCCCGAGTCACCTCTTCCCGCGACCCCGCCCCTTTCGAGATCGCGCCCGCCCCCTCCCCCACGCGCGCCTCCTCTACCCGTCCTCCTCCCCTTCCCCCTTCCCTCTGGCCCTCCCTTCATTCCACAAGTGTCGCTTTGCTCTCTCCAGCGCACTTGGCGAGCTGGAGAGGTGAAAAGCATCCTGCGAGCGAGCGGACGTGGGAGCCGAGTCCCAGGCGGCAGGCGGAGGGGAGTTACGGACACACCGACTCTCCCCGGCTCTCCGCCCCCGCCTCCCCCGGTGGCCTGCAGGACCTGCACCCCGCGCTGGCCTCCGCTCCTGCTTCGTCCCCGCCCGGCCCGGGCGCGCTCCTCCCCGGCCAGCCCCCTTCTCAGAGCGCGTCGCGCTGGAGGCAAACGCAGGCTGAGCCGAGCGTAGTGGCCGCCGACCACCGAGTGCCCCGCGCCGCCTCCCTGCATGTGCGGCCAGCGGCGGCCCGCAGCCCCCGCCACCAACCTCGGCAGCTTCGGCCGCGCGTCCAGAGGCGGCGGCAGCGGCTCCAGCGGCGGGCGAGCGCTCCAGCCCGGGCTGGGAGACATGATGCGCCGAGTCCTCCGGCTGCTCCTCGGCTGCTTCCTCACCGAGCTGTGCGCCCGCGTGTGCCGGGCGCAGGAGAGAGCTGGGCACGGGCAGCTGGCTCAACTGGGCGGCGTGCTGCTGCTCACAGGGGGCAACCGCTCTGGGGCCGCCTCCGGAGAGGTAGGTGAGGGCGTCGGGGGATCGGACGCACCGCCGACTCGGGCGCCCACGCCGGACTCCTGTCGGGGCTACTTCGATGTCATGGGCCAGTGGGACCCACCGTTCAACTGCAGCTCGGGCGACTTCATCTTTTGCTGCGGGACTTGTGGCTTCCGGTTCTGCTGTACGTTTAAGAAGCGGCGACTGAACCAGAGCACCTGTACCAACTACGACACACCGCTCTGGCTCAACACCGGCAAGCCCCCGGCGCGGAAGGATGACCCCCTGCACGACCCCACCAAGGACAAGACCAATCTGATTGTCTACATCATCTGCGGGGTGGTGGCTGTCATGGTGCTGGTGGGCATCTTCACCAAGCTGGGGCTGGAGAAAGCGCACCGGCCCCAAAGGGAACACATGTCCAGGTGGGCTGCCTCCCCTTCGCCCTCCTCGTGGGTTCACTTTCCTTTCCCTCCCATCCCAGCATCCCTAGCCATGGCTCTCCCCACCCCAACGTTTCCTATTGGGGAATGTCACCCAGGACAACAACTTTCGCTAGCAGTATGAGCAGAGGCTCTGAGCTTAGCACAGGTGGGGGTGAACGCCAAGTGTGAAGGGGGAAGGCCACTTCCCTCCCTTGCCCACTTGCTATCTCCTCTCACCAGAGAGTGGTGGGACTTGAAACACAGCCGGGTCTCCAAACTCTGGGGTTTTGGGGAAGAGGATCCATTGATTCTAGATGCTCCTCTCTAGGTAAACAGAGGCAGGCGAAGTTAAAAGGGAGGGTGAGAGTGTGATCCTTCGTACGCGTGTGTGATGGAGGAAGGGGGAAGGGAATGAGTGCCTCCTGCAACTCGTACACTAGCGAAAACGACGCAAAGGAGAGGGAGAGTGCAGGAAGGAGTGAGGACAAAAGCCTCCTTGGAGCTGGCCGCTTTGCTTTCCCAGTGCTTTGATAGCCCATGATTGGAACCTCATCTCTCCCCTCCGTCATTTTCTCCCTCAACGTCTATCTTTATGCTGCAGCCATCACAGCGCTGAGCCCCTTGCCTGGGTTGGAGCTGCCTCTGAGGCCACCCTCCTCCACCTTCCAAGCACCTTGATTCGTCAACTTTGCTTTTCCCTTTATTATGCAAGTCCCAACATAGGGCAAAGTCGCAGCAGATGGGAGAAATCATTTGGGGATTAATGGAGAGCTATTAGCTTTTTTTGTGTAACCCCTTTCCTGGATGTCTAAATTGATTCCCAGAACTCAATAACTTTGGAGAAGAAGGATTCAGACTTGAGCCCAGCCTCAGGGGAAAGATGAGGGGTTAGTGTGAAGCCTGGGGAGAGAGATGAAACGATAAACTACCATAAGGGCCAGTTGACAGTGGGATGGCTAAAGCAAAAGCTGACTCTGAGTCTGGGCATTGAAGTCCCTGTGATCTTTCACCCTCCAGTCTACTTCACCTCCACCCCCACTAGGGTCCTGTGTGTGTGCATGTGCTCGCAGTTGTGTGCATGTGTGTGTATGCCTGAGTGTGCATGCACTCGATCCATGTACTTGCCTAAAAATCTGAACAAAGAGACCCACCAAAAATAGTCGAAGGAACATCACCACCTCACTAGTAATTATTTTCTATTTATATGTGGAAGAGTATCCAATGAGTTATTCTTTTCCCAAAGATAAGAGATTTGGAGGGGAAGGTGGGGAAGGTTTGATCAGTTTGGGTTAGTGAGGAGGACTAGGTAGATGGTATGGTCTTGGAGCACAAAAGTAACCTAGCAGGGGGTCCAGGAAACCAGGACCAAAAGAGTAAGACACTGGCCCAGCCTATCTCCTGCTACCCCAAGGTGCCCTGTCAACTAACTTCAGCTTCCAGGTGGGTTCTCTTAAGGAGAGTTCTATCCAGGGAAGTATCCATGTCATTGTTAGGGTGGGGGTGAGAAATGGATGCAGATCCTGTGACCATTGTGTTGCTGTGTAGGGAGCTAGTGCTCAGACAGGTAGGTTGCCTTGCTGACAACTGGGACTGAAATTCCCACCATGCCTTTTTGCTGAGTTCTCAAGTCTCCCTTTTGGGGATTTGGTGACAAGAGGAACTACTGTTTTCAGATCTGTGAGAGAGGTCTATGCTGCCACAGCTTCAAGTTTTCTTAGATTGGGTGTTCTGGTCAAACCTGTCCTGATCCCTTATCTCAGGCAGCTCCTTTGGAGGTACTGACTCCAGTTTTTCTGCAAGTTCTAGACAAGGTCTGTTTAGAGGCAACATCTGACATAGCAGCAACTTGACTCACTCTTCCTAAAAACATTTGGGGTTCTAGAATGCAGTGGATTCCTGACTTTGGAAAGGCAGAAGACACGATTATGTTACTGGCAGCTTCTTAGGCATGCTTTTCATGCTTGCTGCTGTTTGAGACCACCTATATTGCTTAAAGTCCCTATTGTGGGGGGGCACCTTTGACTTTAAATTAGAATGTGGAGTGGGAGCCAAATACCATTGGGCTGGCAAAGCTCTCTGGGTGATTCTGTGAAGGGAAAAGAATGAACACCTGCTAAGCACAGGGCTGGGTGCCAGGGATTGTAAGGTAGTTTTGTGTGTGTGTGTGTGTGTGTGTGTGTGTGTGTGTGTGTGTGTGTGTTGTGTTGTGTTGTGTGTGTGTGTGTGTGTGTGTAAAAACTCAGTTCTCACAGCTAGCCTATGAGACAGCTGTTACATTTAATCTCCTGTTTATATAGGAGACAATCATGAAGTGGCTTTGCTCAAAGTCACACAATTAGAAGACAGTCGTGCTGTCCATAGTAATACTGGATTGAACTCACTTGCATCTGGATCATATGTTTTCAGGCCCAGCATCAGAATCTGGGGAGCTTCCCAAGGTACAGACTTTTAATTCTTGCTTTGGAGATCGAGAGTCAGTATGTTTGGAGTGGGCCCCAGATGTCTCCTTTAACACCCTCTTTCAGTGAATATGATATCCAGGAGAAACACTGGCCTTAAGTTTGGAAATATTTTCCAATGGTAGGAAGATCAGAGTTAATCCAAGAGAACATCGAAGAGCAGTGTGACTCTCTGCATTCTGTAGCTTGTTTTCCCCACTTGTATAACCTTCCTGTGGCACCCGGGCTGCCCCAGGTCCTTCAGGATGCATCACGTGCTGCTTTTGTACTTAATCATTTGGAACCCATTGTGGCAAAGGCTCATTAGCTTCTGCCTTATGGTGCTAAGATCTTCCAGCAGGGACCAGTGCCTCAAGCTTAGTAGAAAAGAAGCTGCTCTGAGGCGAGGCATATTCCAGGTGAAGTTAACCTGCCAACCACAGCCTCTTGGTGTCTGTCAGGAGCTGCAGGATGCAGTCATGGGTTTTTTCTTATGTCACCTGGGAAGCACCTGGTCAAGGACATAAAGGTGGTAGTATTCCTCTGCACACTTCATCCTGGTGACCAGGAAACTTGTGTTTTCCAGTGGAGGCCACCAGCATATCAAATGCACATTTAGATTCTTGGCATATGGCCCACTTCCCTCTGGGCAGTTGAGGATGGAAAAAGAAGAGAAGCACAGCCATCAGGAAGGGTGGAGAGAACCCATGCCATCATGTAAGGACTGTACATGTGCATGGGCTAGGGAGATGGTTCAGTGAGGAAGAGTGCTTGCTGTGCAGTCATGAGGACCTGGGTTCAAATCTCAGCACCCACATAAAAAGCTGAGCACTGTGGTGAATGGCTGTAACCCTAGAGCTAGAGGTGGAGACAAGTGGGTCCCAGGGCCTTGCTGTCTAGTCAGTCTAACCAACTGGTGAGATCCAGGTATAGTGAGATACTCCATTCCCAATGTAAAATGGAGAGAATAGAAGAGAGTATTCAGACATTGACCTCTGGTTTCCACATGTCCCCACACAGAGTCAAGTGCAGCTCTCTCCCCCCACAGACATATAACACTGAAGGAGGGCGGGGCAGGGGGGATGAAAGTCATGGATGCATTGCCGTAGCACCATGGTAGCAGCTATAGGCAGCCCCTGTTTTTGGACAATATGACTGCAATGCTGGCTAACCATTTAAACCTCCTGCAAAGTGTTAGTTACTATTTATGTATCTTAGAAGTTTTTTGCGTATTGTTTTGAGACAGAGACTGACTGTGTGGCCCAGGCAGCCCCCCTCAACTTTTAGTCTTTCACCCCAGGTTCCCAGCGAATGGGTTCACAGGTGTGTGCCACCATATGTTTCTACTATGAGAAAATTTAAACATTCAAAAACCTTGAAGGGAATATGAGGAGCTTTAGGACATCTTTTGCTTGATCACAGCCTGTCACCCCTGGCACTATTTATCAGAGTTGGATAAGAACCCATGTGGTGGGAACTGCCTTGCATATTGTAGGGTGTTTGGCAACATCCTTGAGCCCTACCCATTGAGTAAATGACACCTGCCATGACAGTAGAAAATGTCACTACACACTGTCATATAACACGAAAGAGTAAAATTCCCCCCCCCCAGTGAGAACCACTAATCTTAATTAAACTAGCTTTACAGTGTTGTCAAATTTGCTCCATTTCAGGCTTTCTTGTTGTTTCTTTTGACCTTTATTCCCCTTCCTTCCATTCACTCCCCTCCCTTCCATTTTAATCTCCTTTCTCCCTTCCCCCCTCCTTTTCTCTTTCTACTTCCTTCCCTCTTCCCTTCTTCCTCTGCCTTCTTCCTTCCTATCCCCCTTCAGCTGAACCATTTGAAAATAAGTTTCAGACACAGCATTCAGTCCCACATACTTAAAGCATGGGTCTTCTAAGACCAAGAACATTTCCCACACAGTACAAGTCCATTATCATAACTTACAAAGAGAACAACAACAACAAAATACCATACTGTCACTATTTGTCCAATCTTATTAAAGTCTCCTCATACCCTAAATGGCCTTCAGAGTTAAGTCTGGATCTGGTAAAGAGGTATTGTATTAAGCTGTGAAATCTCTTTGGTCCCTAATATTCACACTGTTTTAAAACCAACTCCCAAGTTAGCTAGTACTGAAGAGCTGGGATTCTCAGAGAATTCCAGTTTCTGATTCCTCTGGCCAGTTTGGGAGATCTTGTAATCCATACCTACAGTCTTCACATAGCAGCACTGATTGTGGCTGGGTGGTGACTGTCCCCTTTAGAGAATCCTTTCAACTAACTTTATCATGTCACCTGTGAACCTGGGAGCATCAGGAGCCTGTGTGAATGGCACATGCTCCCAGCAGATCTAGTGAAGCCTTAATATTAGTGTGACCTTGGGAAGGTTGCTTCACCTCTCTGAGAGTCCAGTTCTCATCTGAAGGTTGTGAAACCACAGAGAGGCAGACTTGGAAGTGATTAACATATCTAGAGTCACCACCCAGCATCCTTCTTGTTGGAATCCCTTGTTCACTGAAGAGGGTGAGTTGCAGTTTGCACTACAGTAACCAGTCTGTA